TCTAATACCTTGTGAGCTTCTGGCACACTACATCCAATGAGTACTTTCACTCTTCCATCTTGCAGTGTTGGAAGAGGTATGTCACACAGGTATGGCTTACCGACAACCGTTTCACGACTAGGTACTATAGCTTCGCCAAGTTTCATACTGGAGGTAGTGTAAGCAGTATCCACTTCCACGATCTCCCCAGTAGCCAAGGATTCTAACTGAAATGACACTCGCTCACATACTACTGTTTTCGTAGAATTGAAAGTATTTACAACCAAGGGTTGCTTTGGGCCTTTAATACCCAAGCAACCAGCCAGTTCAGCATCTATCAATGTAGCGTCTGAACCATTATCCAACAATGCATAAGTCTCTACTGAAGATTTCGGTCCTTTCACCTTAACTGGTAATACCCCTAAGAAAACTTGTGTGATGTCAAGGGGTCTAGAGATACTATTACAGTTAACCGAATTCCCAGGTCCGTTTGCTGTCCTCAGAAGTGGGTGCATATCCGTTAAACCACTACTTCCTTTATTTGTCGCCTTACAATTCCACTTTGTATGCCCAACCTTTAAACAACTGAAACACAGCCGCTTCTGCTTTGCCATTTTTAACCTTTCTACGGGTGACATAGCGATAAAGCGATTACAATCACTCAATTGATGCATGTTATGGCAAACAATACACTCATCCTTTCTCGTTGTGTCTTGAGACTTCACCACAAATGCCTTCCTTATATTCACTGGTTCCTTAGGTTCTACCTTAGAATGCAAAATGCTGGCGAATTTGCCCATCGCCTGGTTGACACTGTCCTTCACCAGTCTAAGAATATCATCAAACCTTGGCTCGATACCCTCCTCCTCTATACGAGAGCTTATTTTTACCCACTTCCATTGCAGCCGAGTAGGCAGGCGTCTCGCAATTACCTCTAGGACTGAGCTCGAGTTGAGGTCACTCATGCAATTCATCGAAATCAAGGTATTCTTATAAGTAATAAGATTATCTAAGAACTCAGTGAGTGCCTTGGAGTCATCTTGAAGTTGACTGCCGTTACCTTTGACAGCTTCGTATACGTTCCTTGCAATCATTGAAGGTCTTCCAAACCTTTGACGTAATATGCTCATAGCCTCGTAGTAGCCCTCTTTTGGCTTCATAAACTTACAGCACTGTATAGCTCTTGAAGCATCTCCAGTGCAATACCTCATCAAATACATCAATTTCAATTCACCACTTAATAAAAAACTACTCAGCATGATCTCAAACTCCTTTACAAATTGTAAATAATCAGCCGGGTTTCCATCAAAACACCGTGGTTCAAATTTAGGGAGTTTGATGTTCCTATTATCCCTGAACGGCGAAAAAGTAACATCAACCATGTCATGCTTAACATCAGACACATCGTTACAATTAACAGACAAGTCACCATGACTTACTTTCCTGTTTGCATCCAAGACACTCTGTCCCTTCTTTGACCCAGGCATTGTTGAACTTGACCCAATTCCAAAAACGTTCCAGATATTGCTTGTTCAAAGAGGACTTGACCGGCACCAGGAAAAATGAACGGTGACTATCCAAACTTTTACCAGCTATCTGAATCGGCCAGAATCTGTTTCTACCGTCAGAAACTGTCAGCCACGTCTCGTAAACCGTTAATGCCCAGCTCTTGCTACGCTCGGGCCCACGCTGTTCCTTGAAGTTTTCAGAAACGCTTAGTTATAACGGACGAAAACATCAAAACACCGATTGGCCGCTTGAGAATTCTTTATTGTTACACCAACATATAAAAATAATAATTGAACTAAGTTCTATGAACAAATATTACAATAATAAATCATAAGATTACTTCTGATGGTTTGCTACTGACTTCTTTCTGAACAGCGACCGATGAGACGATGACTGTCGTATTGATGCCTCCGCGAAAATTGGGGAAGTTGGTTTGAGCAAACAACCATGAATTGATCGTTCAATCTTCAACTACATTGACGGTGTTCTTGCATTTATAGGTCACTTTTAAGTCATCTGCATATAGTATTGGTTTACCAATACTAAAGCAATCACAGATACTGTTTATATATATTATGAATGGGAGTGGGCTTTATACACTTCCCTGGATTACACCACTACTTACTGGTTTAGGCCTTGAGATTATCCAGCCAACTTTTGGTATCTGATTCCTGTCACAGAGAAATGATTTTATCCAGCTCAGGAGAGGGTCACATATCCCTAGTGAGCATAACATGTAGACTAGCAGATTATGGGGGACTCTATCGAAGGCTTTTGTTATATCAAAATATAGCACAATTACTAGTTCTCTGTTGTCTCTGCTTCGTGTAACTTCATTGAAAAAGTCTATGTGACAAGTCACACATGATCTCTTTTTGAGGAATCCGTGTTGTGATGGATTGATAAGTTCATGTTCTAGTAAGTTGCCTGACACTTGGTCTTTAACCACTTTCTCCATTATTCGGGATATTACCGGTGTTATATTAATAGGTCTATAGTTGCATGCACTGGTTTTGGCCCCTGCTTTGTGCTTAGGTAGTATGTATGTGGTTTTCCACACTTCAGGATAAGTTCCAGTTTCCAGTGACAGAGTAAATATTCTAAGTAACAAGACTACCATTTCCATGCTACCATTTTTGTATATGACAGATGGTATGTCGTCTGTTCCAGTACTGCCGTTTGACTTCAATGTCTTATTCGCTGAGTCTATATTTTGTATATTAAAATCTATTTCTCATAATTTGTGGTTGCTTTTGCAGGTCATTTGGAAATTCGGGGTCGGGTGCACTCTGGTGTCATTGCAAAACCACTCACTGAGGAGTTCACTTATAACCTGGGGATCGTTGTATATTACACCCCTATGTTCCAAGATGCTTACATTATTATCTTTACTGCTTTTTAGACGTTTTTGAAATATCCTACAAAGTTCCTGAGTTTTGGTGTTACCCATAAGCGCTTTATTTTCCTCATGTTGTGACTTCATTTTGTGTTTCTCTTCAAGCAGTTTAAGAGTTTCATGTATTTGGTTTAACGCATTAAATTCCTTAAATACATGGTATTTCCTTTCCAATTTCTTTAGTTTTAGTCGCGTTTTACGGTCAATAAATGAAGTTGGTGTCTTTATGGCAGATTTTAGGGGCGCGATTGTGTCTCTTGCTGAGCCAACTGTTTTGTAGAAAATCTCAAGTGATACTTCTAAGTCATTGTTGATGAAGTATTATTCGCAGTCAGAACTTCTCAACAGATCTGATAGGAATTCCCAATCAGCATTCCTATAGTCCCTATATTGATAGTGCACCGGGGATTTTTTAGGTGTGTATTTAGTTGTTAGTCGGAGGGGTAGCGTGCAGTACAATGTGTTGTGATAACTGTTATCGAGTTTATTTCCCGCCTCTATCGAGATGGTCTCTATGTTATGACAGAGGATTAAGTCAAGAGTATTTTGGTTCCTTGTAGGGAGGCGTACGCTTTGCTTCCATCCTCCTATGTCTATAGCTTGTAGTAGCTCTTCATGGATTCTTGGTCCTGTACAGGTATCCCAGTTTACTCCAGGTAAGTTGAAATCTCCACATACGACTTTGTAGTCGAAGTCCAGCGTGACTACATGCTCTAGTGTTTCTGCTATAGTTATATCAGTCATTTCAGGGCTATTGGGGGGTCTGTATATACACCCCACGAGAATTTTACTTTCGTCTATGTGGATGCTTATCCACTTAGATTCTGGGAGTTTTTCAGTATTTGGGTTATTGAAAGTATTGGAGTTAGTGAATTTATAGGCATATATTAAGCAACCGCCTCCTCTTGTGTCAACTCTATCGTTCCTATAGATGTCGTAGTTGTCTATTACTAGCTTTGTGTCAGGTATATCAGTAGTAAAAAAAAAAAAGTAGTAAGCCAGGTTTCAGTCACCATTATTAGTGTTGGCCGTTCTATGTATGCCAGGCAGCGAAGCGTTGTTATTTTATTAAGGAGAGATCTAGCATTCAGGAGCATAATTGTTAGTAAACCAGAGTTATTGGAAGAGAGGTTAACACGGTTACTTGTTACTATCCTTACGTTATGTTTGGAGGGGCCCTGAGGTGAGACAGAGTCAGTGTGTGTACTATTTCCTGGATGAACTGTGCAGCGAGTGGGGCTATTTTTTGCTGCAGCCGAAAATAATCCTGTTGCATATTTTGACTGTTAGCATCCATGGGTTGGCATCTGCGTTTATTAACCCCTTGCTTTTCTTCTAAATAGTTCACGCACTTTGGCTTTTGTGTTTAACTCCTTTTAAACCTATATAAGCAGGTAAAATTATCACCTTTTTTCACTTTGTTCGCAAGAAAGACTGTAGAGCTCCATTACTAAAACCTATCGGGGAAATAATATTAAAACAAAACAATAAAAATTATGGCCCCCGTGTTTTTTATATATTTTGAATTATTATTGTTATTATTAAAAAACAATTCGTATACACCCCATCCTTAACGAATAACTTCACTCACTAGTCTTAGGTTAGGTGTGTTCTTGTTTCGTAACATCTAAACTTCTTCGCCAAAGCAGATGCTTTGGTACCTACTAATTTGGTGGGTCGCACAGCTTGTGTGCTTTTTGGCCAAAGTACAAAATGGGAAACTAGACTGTACAGAAGTATGCCCTCTCTATGTATTTCTGCAGGATAAATTTTAAGGTTGCCTGCAAGAAGTATATCGATCTGTCTTGCTATCAGTGGTTGAGCAAAAGCCAATGAGATCGTGCACAAAATCTGGGATTAGAAATCAGACTACAAACAGAAACATCACAAAAAACGTCCAAATGAGAACAAAATTCAGAGAAGAAAAGAAACTCAAAATAAGCAGTTATATAGTTCGTAACCAAGTATTTTTCTAACGGCATAACTGGTAGAAGAGTTAATTGTTAAAATTTTACATACATAGTAATGTAGAAGACGCAGTACACGAAGAATTTCCAGTCACCTAAGTAGTTTGAAGTTTGATTTTGAGGCGCGCTATATTTCCTGACGCGGTTCGGGAGTGCGTTGGTTTTCGTGTAAGTAGTTCGTCTACATATCTTTTAACAGATATCGCTGTTTATGGCTACCACCACTTGCACTTGCTTGCAAAATATACATCTGTGTGGTAGTTTCTATCAGATATGGGTCAGTCAAGTGAAGTGAAATGTAAATTAATATATATATCTATATCTAAATGGTGCTCAAGCTCGAAGTTACCAAGTAGTTCTGATCATAGCTTTTCCTAATGACACAGTTATTTTTGGGACTTCGAATAGGTTCTGGAATTATGACACACTAGGTGGCAGTCTTAATAGTATGTATGCAAAATTAAGATATTAATTTGGGTATCTGATCGTTATGTGGAATATTCTTCAACCTACTCAGTTCTAGGATGCAGTTGATGCGACTGAAATCCACAGGGTAAGCGTGGTCGATAGCCTAATACACCGATGAGTACATTAACGTGAAGCTGTGGCTTTAAAAGTCGAACAATGTGGTAATTATTTTCATACAAAACCATAGGTTCCATCTAAAGTCACTGCTTTAATTATATCTATATCAAGAGATAAATCGTACTGTCCAAGGTTAAATTGGAGTTCTGGGTAAACAACGTCAGTAGTGAGACTATCTTTTTCTCTGTCTAGATGGTTAGGAGTTAAATTAACCTGATCGTAATCGCATCATTTACCAGTAATGATAGAAGCTGTACTGTATATGGGATGTCACATTCATTAACTGGCTAAGAATAAAGCTTGACAACAGTGTATGTTAGTGTCGATTTTGGTTGTTTTAAACAAATGTTTGTATTTCACCAGCTTTACACAGGCAACTTTAAGTCCCTTTTCTGAATTACAGCGGGATTCTGCGACTGAATATTATTCAGCTGAGTGCTAGGCATATTAATCTAAACACCATTGAAGTAAAAACTCTCAAGACTGATAGATTAATAAAATAATCAAACTGAGTGCTCATTTAGTAAAACTAATATGCATCAGTCAGTTAGTGTCTGAGAAATTAATACTCATATGACCAAATCACAATAAGGCAATAAACCTCGGACAGCTTCCGTGATATAATAAAAGGCTCAGAAAATTTTTACTTTGAGATATAGATCTTGTGTGAGTATAAATAGTATAGTTGTGTAATGGGATAGCAATCACATGAATATATTTGGTTGGTCCTGATTTTAAAGGATGAACAGCGAAGTGGGGGGAGGGAGGACATCAGTCATGAAACTATGTTAACTGACGGGCTTTACCATAGCCCTCATAAATTTGTCAGCTCTCATCAACTTAGGTGCTGCTTATAACAAGAAATGCAGCAATCTGCTCTCCTCAGGTATAGGAATCTTAAACGTAGTTATTATTCATAAATAGCATAACGTTCCGAGTTCTAAGCATGTTTCTTCGCAATGTCTCCCATCTCTATCTAGCATATCAAAGATGTTTAGAGTTGATAAGTAAGAATCTGATATAATATGAAGTATTAGTTGCATTTAATGATGGTGAATTAGTCTTTTCGACGAAACATCACTACTTAGTGGTTTTATTGGGGAGTTGTCTCAACTCATGGGTCTCTCGTCAAATGATTCCTTGTTTTTGAATATGATCTTCAATAATTGGTATCAGATGACTGAAATTTGTAAGGATTTCTGAATAATATATTTTTTGGGTGTTTATATATCACACGATCCAGATAACTACATTATTTGCAATGACAACAATTTCAGACAAGTGCGATAGATAGGAATATCACTTACTCTAAGGTAATCTGTAGTTGATGGTAGGGTTTCTCTTAAGGTTTAACTCTATAAATTTTAACATCCTCGAACAGGTGGCATTTTGTCTTCCTCAAGCAAACACCATCTGGGCTCTGTATTCATGGTGGAATCATTTTTCTGTTTAGAGTACTGTTAGATGAAATAAATTTTCTTAGTGCAAACAACCAGAAAGTATCCACTGACCAGTTTTCCATTCACTTTAAGAACGGATCTGTTTATCATCTCCCTCCTTTACTTGATTTTCACTACGTTTCGTACAGTTTTTTCAAACTTCTATTCTTAATGTAGTAAAACTGCGATATCAATTCTCAAGAGTTCACATCTTAGCCGTTTTCCTAAAGGACAACAGATTTCACTAGCCGACACTGCCTTCTATGGTTATTAAAATGTGTTTCAGTAAACAAATTGATTGTACTGTATAAGCTTACTTATCATTTTTCTTGTGGTCTCTTACTTATTCAACTGTTCTAAAATTATTCTTAAATGTCATTCGTTTCAGATCTTTTCATTGACTAGCTAATGGCATCCCTCCCCAAAAGAATAATCAAGGTAAGTTGATAGCCTGTAATATATTGAAACCGACTGTAGGAAACTCAGAAACTTATCCAAGATCCTTGTGATGGTATAAAAGCTGTACCAGACGAAAATAATGCAAGATATTTCTTGGTATCTATAGATGGACCCAAAGATAGTGCATATGAGGGAGGTATTTTCAACTTGGAGCTGTTTCTTCCAGAGGATTATCCCATGACTGCACCTAAAGTCCGTTTTACAACTAAATTATACCATCCAAATGTTGATCAGCTTGGGAGAATTTGCTTGGATATCCTTAAAGGTAAGCTAGGTTTATGTTTTACATTATTTATTTTTTAAAATAACTTGGCACATCATGAACTCCAAAAGATACACCACACAAAATCTCATAGTTAAGACGAGGGCTGGGATACTACCCAGACTGGAGCAGGTGGTTGTCTTGAGGGGCCATCTGCAAGCCTTTGGTGTGAAGTCTGATCTATAAGGCAATGGAACAGCGTTCCCATGGTTCCCCGTGACCAAAGCAGGTTCATTCGCCATTCGATCCGCCTGCGTTCCGGAACCCATGTATATCATACATTTGGAATCAAGGCTTTCCAGCTCTCCAAGGTAGACCAACATGTCCACCAGTCCGGTCGCAAACGTTAGACGTCCTCATTCATCCTTTCACTTTTGTACAGCTTGATAACAAAGTCGTTGAAGAGTCTCTTCCTATAAATATTGTGTTCCTAATGTTACAGTGGGGAATATTAAATTATATTGCTTAGTTTGCGATTTTTCGCCGAGGAAATATTAACTTTTTTGGAAGCAAGTTTTCAGTATGTTATGCATGTAACATCTGTGTATATTGGCCTACTACGAATGTCACTTCGGGATAGATATCCAATTTTGTTTCTACTATGAAGTTTTCTATTCACAAGTTACTTCAAGACAGTTTTTCCTACGATATCATCCTACATGAGGTTGCGGCGTATCAGCAAACCAGTAATTCAGCTTTTTGCCCATTTTTTATTTGAAAGCATGAGATACATTTCATGATCACTGTGATTTAGAATACTGGTTCTTACATCTCTCATTCAAGCTGGTTGCCTCTTTATCGTCCGTATTTCACGTTAAATAAGAAACACCATTTGTTCCGCAGCATGTATCTCACATCACATCTTAATGAACCCTACCGATATGTAGTTTATCGTATTCCCGGCCGATAACTGCTACGTTGTCGTGGCGGTCGGACTTGAATACCGCAATGACCCAACAAGCTGAACTGACTGGGACTCTGTCTCTACAGGTCCTACCATGTCAGGGAGGTTTTCTGGATAGCGGTTAAACTAAAAGCAGTTACCATGGGGTACGTGGGCTCCAGTTTCCAATAGGATCGAATGGCGTATGAACCCATATGGGTCACCGGAAACCATGGGAATGCAGCTCCTGACGCTGCTCGACTGCCTTGCGGATTAGACTCCAAGTCAAAGGTTCTGGGGGTGGTCCCTTAATAAAACCACCTGCTTCGGTCTGGGCGCCCGGGCAGTATCTCAGCCCGCACACAATGAATGAATTAAAGCAACGAACTCTCATTGAAACTCAACGCGCGCTAGTAAAAATGATTCCAAGCAATATTGATCCCTCAAGCAACTTATTTCCTTCCTACCTTACTTTTATTTTTATACATAGTTTCCTGTATTTTACCTTTGCTAACCTTGGCTTCTTAACCTTCGACAGCCTTTCGCCTTTGTCGAGATTCCCAGCCTATCCGTGTCGTTTCGAGATGTTAGTGAGTAGTCCTCAAAATGGTTGTTCCCAATGTGACATCTAACACAGATATCCTGAAACCGCGTGCCGCGTTCAAGCTGGCTACCTACAATGTTCGGACGCTGATGCAAATCGGACAACAGGCAGGGTTGGCAAGAACTTTGGAAAGCCTCGCTATCGATGTCTGCTGCATTTCGGAGACCCGCATTCAAGATCCCAGTGAAGTGCTTCGACTATCCTCTCCATCTGGAAGTTCTAGTAGTATGTACCACCTGCGCTTATCCGGGGACCCTGTGGCGTCGGCATCCGGCGTAGCTGGTGTCGGTGTCGCACTGAGCGCTAGAGCCGAAGCTGCACTGCTCGACTGGATTCCCATTAACAGTCGTTTATGTGCTGTGAGGCTGGAAGGTTATACGAAAGTAAGGAGTAGTAGGCCAGATAGGCGGTGTCTATTTGTTGTCTCTGCCTATGCACCGACGGATTGCAGCCCGGATGCAATGAAGGATGAGTTTTACTACCAACTGAGCGATCTCTTGAAACAGGCGGGTCGGAGGGATATCGTAGTGCTGGCTGGGGACTTGAATGCACAGGTCGGGCGTCTAAGCTCAGAGGAGAATCGTCTAGGTGGTCAGTGGGGACTACATGGTCGCAGGTCAGATAATGGGGACCGTCTTCTGCAGCTTTGCGCGGATCACAACCTATTTCTAGCCAGCACCAACTTCCGGCACAGCCATCGCCGTAGCGCTACCTGGCGTCCTCCCTCTGCGAAGCAAGCTTGGACTCAGATTGATCATATTGCGGTCAGTTTCCGGTGGCGAGGATGCATACAAGACTGTCGCTCCTTCTGGAGCACATGCCTGGACTCCGATCATGCGTTAGTGTGTGCCAAGTTCGTCTTGCGATTTGGTGGGGTTCGTAAAAGCCGTCGTCTAAGCGTTGATGTGAGCAAACTAGTAGCACCTGCTACTTCTTTGAAATATCAGAATGAGTTAAAAACAATGCTTGCCAGCAACCCCCCAAGTAGTATAGATGAACATTGGCTTCATGTGCAAGGTGCCATGCAAAAGGCGAGTGTAGCCGCTTGCGGCTTGAAAGAATGCTCCGCTAACAACCACTGGGTTTCTGCGAGTTCCTTGCAACTCATGGATGAACGCCGGTCCATTCCGGCTGGCAGCGAATACAACAATCAGCGAAAGGCGCTCACGCGCAAGATTAGACAGTGTTTACGTAAGGACCGCGAAGCCTGGTGGTCAGAACGTGCGTGTGAGATGGAGTCAGCTGCTGCATCTGGCAACAGTCGGAAGCTGTTCCAACTCATACGAGCCACCGGCAGCAAGAAACAAGGTGTCAGCGAGACGGTCTGTGAGGCAGATGGCACTCCAATTACCAGCCTGAAAAGACGCCTGGAACGCTGGGCAGAGCACTTCGGGAAGCAGTTCAGCTGGCCACCAGCTTCAGTGTCTACTATCATTAGCCCGAGTGCTCCTTGGTCGGTTAGTACCGACCCACCCACCGAAGCGGAGGTCCGTAAGGAACTCCAAGTTCTGAAACGCCATAAGGCGCCCGGCCCAGACAAATTACCCCCGGCTCTTTTTAAAGATGGTGGCGAGACTCTCACAATGGCTCTAACTGGGTTGTTCAGGAAGGTGTGGGAGACAGAGAGTGTACCATCAATGTGGAACGAAGCCATTATCGTCCCCATCTTTAAAAAGGGTCGACGTAATTCGTGTGACAATCATAGGGGTATCAGTCTGTTACCAGTCGCGTCTAAAATATTGGCTGCTGTCTTGCTTCGCAGACTGTGCAAAATACGTGAAGGATTGATTCGCGAAGAGCAGGCTGGGTTTCGTTCAGGTCGTGGATGCATTGATCATGTGTTCACCCTTCGTCAGTTGTTGGAACACCGCCACACGTATTGCAGGCCAACGATCGTTGTGTTTCTTGATATTAGGGCTGCCTTCGATTCGTTGGACAGAACTGTGCTCTGGAACTGTCTGTTAGAGAGAGGTGTACCTGAGAAATTTGTTAACATCTTGAAAGCCCTATACAGAAACACCTCAGGTAGAGTGAGGGCATACAACCAACTATCACCACTGTTCCCAACCAACAGTGGGGTTAGACAGGGTTGCCCAATCTCTCCATTTCTCTTTAACTTTGCCATCGATGACATTCTGGAGTCAGCTCTGAAGGATGTGCGTGAAGGTGGTGTAGATCTGCTACCTGGAGATAGACTTTTCGACCTCGAGTATGCAGACGATATCGTCTTACTGTGCGATAGCATGCAGGCTGCCCAAATCGCACTTAATCAGTTGGCGATCAGTGTCTGTAAGTATGGTATGTGCTTTGCGCCGTCTAAGTGCAAAGTACTGTTACAAGATTGGCAGGAGCCTGTACCTGCACTCACTCTTGCGGGTGAACCGCTTGAAGTTGTTAATAAGTTTGTGTACCTGGGTAGTTGTGTGAGTGCTGGCGGAGGGGTGACGGATGAGATTTCCAACCGTATAATGAAGGCTAGGGTGGCATACATCAACTTGAGCCACCTCTGGCGCCGTCGCGACGTTAGCCTGGCTGTCAAAGGTCGGGTATACAATGCTTTGGTGTGGGCTGCGCTGCTCTACGCCTGTGAAACCTGGCCTCTCCGAGCTGAGGATGTGCGGCGACTCTGCGTGTTCGATCACCGCTGTCTCCGCAGGATTGCTTGCGTTCGATGGCATCATCGCGTGAGTAATTCTGAGGTTCGGCGGCGTGTGTTTGAACACAGTGGAGATCACCATTCATTGAATGTCGTCATCTGGAAACACCGGCTCCGGTGGCTTGGACATGTGCTGCGAATGTCACCCCAGAGGCTTCCGTACAGGTCTCTGTTCGCTAGCCCTGGGACGGGATGGAAAAGGCGGAAAGGTGGTCAGTCCATGACGTGGCGTCGTGGGATGAAGGATTTTTGTGCTAGATTAGCATCGGTTGGTGTGTCACGACTCCCTGGTTGGGGTCCGAGAGATAGCTCAAATCGATGGCTCGAAACGTTATCGGATATGGCCAAGAATCGTAATCAATGGCGAATGTGTTGCGATTTCCTTCTTTCTTCCCTTCCTGATGATAGTTAACGAACACTGTTTGAACTTGTTAAGCATGAGTGTTTTCCTTCCAGATGAAGTTCTTTATCCGTTCTCTACTTATATATTTTTTCTTTTCCTTTTTTTGATCTATGTTGTTTTATTATTATTGTGTGACGCATCTTTCTTGGTGCCATATTGTACCAAGTTTTTTATGCGTTTAAATAATAATAAATAATAATAGTTTATCATATTTGTACCACTCGTGTAGACAGTTAATTGCTTACTGGTACATTTACGCTTGTGAATCCTGAATTCGTTTCACATGTTTTACGAGCATTATGTCTTTCTTTTTATTCACCTCTTTTTATATACGTTTCTACCTCCCTATAATTTCATCTAGTCTTCATTTATACCTTGTCGTCGATTAAACCCACTTTTTGTAGCTGGTTCAAGTGTTACTTCATTTATTCCATAAAATAAGCTGACTTTCAAATCTGGATTTGTAGTCCTCTGTGTTAAAAGCGATATCGTTGTTTTTTTCCTATTGAAGCAACAGATCCTAGAATTTATCTGTCTGTGTGACACCCACACTAATAGGGGTTTGAAAATGGATCACGTGATTGATATCAGGAGAATTTTTTCTTTGCGTGAATACTCTTTTTAAGGTTCGCTGTTGAATTTTTCTACTCTTGATTATATCTCCTGAAGAAATCGTTGCACTTATTATCATGAATATCATATACCCAATGCCCAAATTTTTTCAAACTGTCTGTCTCTGTCTGGATTCAACATAGAACTTGGCACCGAAGTGCAGCAGTTCGAGTTGCCACGTTCCAAATAGCACACAAAGGTAGACAAGAAGATGAGTGAAGAGAATCAATAGAGTTTGACAACAATTGGTGACATGGCTCGAAATCGTTCTCAGTGGCGCAGATGCATCCACTCCTTGTGACTTATGATTTCCAATGAAACTGTTTTGTTCTTCGTTATTACTCCTTTGTCTTACACCTCTGCTTACTGTCTATTATGCTTTTCTTGTACTTTCTTCTCTTGCTTCGTGTGCTAAGTGGAGTGTGGCGACTTGAACTTCCGCACATTTGTGCAAAGTTCTATGTCGAAAACAGACAGACAGACAGACAGTTTGACAAGTATAAGAGCGAAACAGAATGGGTAATGGTAGAAAGGAATATGAAAGATTACAGAGACTGAATACATCTGCGCCATTGACAACGATTTCGAGCCATGTCACCTATTTTCTCCAGCCATTGATTCCTAGAGTCCCGAAGGACCCAACCCGGAAGTCTGCATCTCTCTACCTAACTCAGTTTAACTGTCAAGGATTTCATGGATTGATGAGGCCATGTTTTTGTTTGGCCACCACTTACTCTTCCAACCTGCACCTATATCAGCTAGTAATGCCTGTCGGGGGAGGCGATGGTTAGGCATGCGCAGCACGTGACCTAGCCATCTCAATCTATGTAACTTTACAGCCTCGTCGATTGATTTTCCCTGTTTGCCCAACACTCTACACCTAACGTCAACCTTCTTATACCACCTAACGTGAGAAAGAGATCGCAGACATCTATGATAGAAAGCAGTCAACCATTTCATGTCTTCAACTCGTATTGGCCATGTTTCAGAACCATAGAGAAGGACGGAGCGAACTGGTGAGCAGTACACACGTCCCTTGGTTGATAGCCGGATGTCACGCCTACGCCAGAGATGGTGTAAGTCAGCGAAAGCAGCTCGAGCTTTTTGGATCCGTGCTGAGATTTCGTCGCCAATCAGTCCGTTGGTGCTGATACAACTTCCCAAATAGGTGAAGTGGTCAACATGTTCTATCACTTCATTCCCTATCACTAAGCTAGGAGTTGACGTAGTCCAGTCCTGTAGCAGCATATTACATTTTGTAGGGGCGAATCGCATGCCAAACATACGAAGATTGCTGCTCAATGTGTTCAGAAGACTCTGCATTTTGTCATCATCCTCCCCTAACAGGACTATGTCATCTGCATATTCTAAGTCCATAAGACTATTCCCTGGTAACAAGTCGATTCCTAAGTCGTTACGTTCAGTTAAGGATACTTCCATCAGCATATCTATGATGAAGTTAAACAGAAATGGGGAAAGTGAACATCACTGTCGGACACCACTGGTTGTTATCAATTCAGATGACAATTCCCCATAAGCCCTTACACGACTACGTGAGTTTGAATAGAGTGCCTTGATTAGTGCAATGTACTTTCTTGGCACTGCCCCCTTCACAGTCAAACATTGCCATAGTAGTACCTTTCGTTCCACGGAGTTGAAGGTCGCCTTCAAGTCAAGAAATATGACAATTGTTGGACACCGAAAAGTGTGTCTATGTTCTAGAATCTGTCGGTGAAGATATGATCTATGCACCCTCTACCTGGTCTAAAGCCTGCTTGACTTTCCCTCGTTTGTTCCTCCAGAGTTCTGCTTATTCTATGCATGATTACCGAGTTTAGGATTTTAGAGACTATGTTCGTTAAGCTGATCCCCCTATGATTATCACATGAGGACTTGTTTCTCTTCTTGAATATCGGTATAATAAGTGACTTACCCCAGTCTGATGGAACCGTTTCTGATTCCCAAACTTAGCCTAGTACCTTAGTTAATCTACATACTAGTATGTCATCCCCATATTTAAACACCTCCGGAATAATTTCGTCGGGTCCTGCCGCTTTGCCTCGTTTCAAATTACAGATAACTTTTGTGACTTCACTTACAGACGGCGGACCAGTGTCTATATCCCATTTGGGTGTGTGCTGGATGGCGGGGAAGTTCAGTGTGGCTGTAGGCAAGTTAAATTGTTCCTGAAAGTATTCTTTCCAGCGTTCAAGGCGTCTATCCTGAGAGCTAATTAAGGAGCCATTTTTCTCGAAAATAGTCTCACTTATGATTTGCCTTCTCCCACCCGTTTCCCTGATGAGTCTAAAGAGTTGCCTAGTGTTGCTTATCGCCGATGCTTTTTCCATCTCCTTCGCCTTTGTCGCCCACTACTGTTCACTGTCCTTGGGGAGACTTTTCGTAAGTTCCGCTACTCATTGAATTCAGAGCTCGCCGGAATAAGTCTTCTAGCATCTATCAGTTCGGATGAGTCGGTAGAGATTCAATGGTTTTTACTCACCTTTGGATTTACCTTATTCACAGCCTTTACAGCTGTATTTATGGCTGGCTGAATATTCTTCCAGGCTTCTTCAGGGTGAGCACAGCTGTCGAACTCAGATATGTGTTTAGCTAATTCTTCCTCAAATAAGGGTTGAGTTTCCTGATTGAGCTGGGGACGTGACGGGTTTACCGCCAGCTGTTTCCTACGTCCGTTCAGTCGTAAGCACACACGAGCCCGGACCAGTGCGTGATCGGTATCTACACACGTGTTCCAGAATGAGCGACAACCTACTACCGACCCACGCCAACGATAGCTTTTTACTATGTGGTCTATTTGTGTCCAGCGTTGGTTTGATGAAGGGGGTCTCCAAGTCAAACAGTGTCTCTCCTTGTGTTTGAAGTTAGTGCTTACAAGAAACAAATGATTATCTGAACAGAACTGTAGGAGACGGTCACCGTTGTCGGTTCGCTGGCACGGGACTCCATAGGTGCCACCGACATCCTTCTCAGATTGACACAATTTCCCTACTTGAGCATTAAAGTCACCGGCTACAACGACTATATCCGAGCGTTTAGCCTTTTCAAACTGTTAAAAGTGAACTTGGTTTCGACATATATATCTTTGTAGTTAATTAGTGAATTACGCTTTAGATCTGACTCACTGGATTAAACAATTTACTTTCAACCAATAGCTCCCGGGTTGGAATCCTATCCCACTTACTTTAGTCTGAAGAAATAAGTGCTATCATCAATGTTCGCACAATAAGTATGCTTCATGACCACCCTGTATGTGAGTAATCTGTTGCTGTTAGCGCACTTCTAACTAACTAACTAACTAACTGACTAAGTAACTCACTAGAATCGTCCTTGATCTACTCAGCTGCTTCAACAATATGTATGAATATAACAATTGAAAATGAACTTATTGGTCTATGCAGACTGTTTGTCAACTCATACAACAAAATAACTCAGTAAAAATGAAATACCCAGTCTTTAACTCTAGAAAGTATAATCATGTTTTGATCAGCAATTTGACATTTCTCAATGATGAATCAATCAAACAGGCACCAAAATAAATGAAAGGTCTTTTAAAGCTAGTATAGTAATTCGTTGAGATATATCTTTTGAAATTCCAAATTATTTCTTTGGTCATTCTACAGTCTGTCTGTCAGTATCTGTAAACACAGGTTTTACATAAGAAGTAAACCTTGAATTATTTGTACTATTAGGAATAAACTTACGTTTTTGCACTGTTAGTGTGTATGAAATAATTCGCTCCAGATTTTGTTCCTTAAGTGGTCACAGAAAAATTGGCTTTAATGTCTTGATCTTTTTTGAGTTCCACTTCAAACTCAGTTCTTCAAACAGGTTTTTCATGTCTCAGGCTATGAGCGCGGACGCTACTACCCAGTTGCGTTGGCTGAAGTAAGTAGCAGAGGATTCAAATATATATTTATATATATATATATATATAAGCAGGTCATAAGTTCAAACGGTTCGATATACTGAGGTTTCAAAATGTGGGTATTTTTGTTATTTACTTGTTCGATACATTCTAATAGGTATGTGTAGTGCTGAGTTTCTAACCAGTTGGTTGCAAATATGAAACCCATTTTTCTTCATTCAACGTTTAAGGAAGCGAACAGCTTTTACACAAATTTGTACGCGACTAGCCAATTTCACTAAATGAACATTTTTTCTCTCACTTGGATAGATAAATGGAGTCCTGCTCTTCAAATACGCACTGTTCTACTTTCAATCCAAGCTCTATTAAGTGCACCAAATCCTGATGATCCATTAGATGGAGAGGTTGCATCACATTGGAAGCAAAATGAACCAGAAGCTCTTGCTAAAGGTGAGTCAATGAAATATTTGTATGATACCCATCTGTTCGCACTGGATTTCCTTTATATTATTACGATAAAAGTTCATATTTATAAGGATTTGATCGTATTTAAAAAAAATAGAAACTACTCTGGCACTAACTAGCGAGATAAATTTGTTGTATAATTCAAACATATAGATAGACGGACAGTGAATGGGAAATTCTCGTACTGAGTCATAGACAAAAGAAGACGTAACAGTAAAAGAAAATTTTCTCTTCTACGAATCATTTTCCATAACTATGTAGTCGTATTTATATTTGAGAAAAATTCATAAAATCAGTCAAATACTGTTCCGGAAAACGTGTTGCGTAGTATGTGGTGTAATCTAGCAGGTAATGACTAAGTGAAGATTAAAAAACGGCAGTTGGAATGACATTAATAATAATAATAAACCGAAATAGCACTCCTGTGTAGGAGGTTTAATGGTGGAATACTCGTCAACCATGCGCTCGATCAGGGTTCGGTTTCCAGCCTTCGTGTCTGGACACACACTAATGCATCATTAAAGTTGGTGGCCGATGATCCAGTGGCCAGTCCATGAATTCTAACTTCTGCCAATTCACGACATAGTACAACCACTTCACAGTGGTCCTCACCTTGCGAAGTGGTTGCGCTATCTCGTGAATTGGCAGAAGTTAGAATTCATGAACTGGCCATTAGATCGGGTCCCAGTGGTTTGATGGTCTACGAGCTCGCCTTATAACCAGGGTTTGAACCCCCTGTGGTCGATGCGTTTTGCTGGAGAGTTCCAAAACTAGTACGAAACTGTTGTCCAGTACTGCCAGGTTTTCCAGTGGTTCCCTAACCGATGCCAGCTCATGGTGAACTTTTATACTTGTTAAAAGTTCCTACTGTGATATAACTGGACGATTGATGTCTTAGTGTTTTTAGTCTAAGTACTTGGACAGTTTCTCACTACCGTATCACTGTGAATGCTCAGTAATCGAGAGATTGAGGCCATTTTTTTCGATGTTTAAGTGCTGTTTTTCATGTGAACATAGTACAAGAAAAAATAAGTGCAGATATCCATTCTCCTATAAGTGGTTTACAATTAGTCAGTTCTACATGTTAAGGAGTTACTGTGTAACTTTTCTGATGGGAAATATTTTCACTAGTAGTTGCATAATTGTTTGTGTTTAAGCTCAGTTACCTGGCATAGATATTTCATATGCCAGACTATGGGCCGTACTAATCGTGTGGAAGCTGATGCTGCTACGCAGAGTTGCCTACTAGGCTCTGGGGTAAATGGAGTGAGACTCGAACTCTGTGACCTATCGACTGAAAACTGAATGCTTAAACGATTGAGTTACATTCCTAAAGTTGGATAACTAATTCTTTTGATTTCTTTACAGTGACTTGATTTTGGAATGTAATCGCATTTGCATTTATCTGTGTTTCGTTTTATTTTTTTAATACATTGTTGTATCATCGAAAGCACGTGAATGGACTCAACTTTACGCTAAACAAAATTAATTACTGGATCATTGTTCTCAATAGCAGCACAGCAGCATGAACAAAAAAAAAACAACCACATTAACACAGCCAAAAAACAACAAACAAACAAACATTTTCTACTCCAAATTAGTTTATGCTTAAGAGAAAGATACATACAAGCTCTCTCTCTCTCTTTCTTCTATTGAAATGTATCCATGTATTTATATGTTCAGATCTCCTGGTATTCGTTATTATTATTATTACGTATTGGAGCTCTGTTTACTGTAGGCTTAAATATTGATTTGTAGTTTTTTTCTCTCTTTCGTTTGAGAAGAATTCTTCAGATTGTTTTCACTATTCTCTTCCGATTGACAATAATTTGTGTATATTTCATTCATCATTAGAGATGATGGACTGCCTGCCTGCCTTGTGAAGCCTTCTTTGTTCCTTTCTTCATGATGACGATGATGATTTCCCCTTACGAATATGATGCATAGGTGAAGTGTTCACTGTCTCTTTTTGTTGATGTATGTATGTATGTGTGTGCACGTTCATGTGTTACACAATTTGTACTGTTTATAAATCATCTATTTATTGTTTACCATCCATTTTTTTGTATGTTTCTCTCATTGTCTTCTCCGGTTTCTTCATCTGCTTCTCTCTGTGTGTTTGGTGTCTCATTGTTTTTACTTTCTTCAAATGTCATAAACACACAGACATACATCTGCATGCATAGTCCTGGTGAGGTGAATTGAAAATTTTTGCTGTAAAGCCTGTCAATGAAACATAACTGTCGTGTTTTCTGCTTATCTCTACAGACGATTGATGGTGACATTTTTTCTGTAGAAAATGATATCTAATAGAAGGTTAATATCCGGGTTTGACTAGCTAGGTGCTTCTCTTATTTTGTGTTGTTAGAAAGAGTATCATCCATAGCACACATACACACACACACACCTTTACACATACATACAGAGGTTTGCTATACATTATGCAATGAGCGGTAATCATCCTGGTGATGTTGTAATGCCAGAATGATTCAACAAGTTATTCATTAGTCAGACCGGCAGACAGACAAACTAAATTTTCCCCCGTGTATATGTCAATAAAGAGCGACGAAAATTACCCATCTCTTCTTATTTATGAATAAATGATAATTCAAATAACTGATTTTGTTAATGATAAAAATGAATAATGATAATGATAGCCTCCGTTCATATTTTTTTTTATTATTACTCTTTCAGACATATTTAGTTGTATGTGTTTTATGTTGGAAAACTGACTGATTGACTGGTTTCAACTTAGAACTTTGCACCGACGTGCAGCAGTTTGAGTTGTCACACTCCCTCCATGTAGCCCACAAAACAAGGGAAGAGAGTTTCAAAAGAGACAGTGATCATAAACAGAAGTGTTAGGGGAAAATGAATAGTAATATGGAAAAACAATAGAGTTTTATTGGATATTATAAATCGCAAAGAGTGAATGCATCAGTTCCATTGAGAACGATTTTGTGCCATGTCACCAATTGTCTTCAACCATTGGTCTTTACTATCCCGAGGACTCCAACCAGAAAGTTTACACTTCCATTCGTAGCCTAAACTAACTGTTATGGATTTCATTGTTTTGGTTCGACCACCACTTGCTCTTCCCAAACTGATCTTATGTCAGTTAACATTTCCCGTCGAGGAAGGCGATGGCTACGCGTGGGTAACACATATCCTAACCATCTCAATCGACGTAACTTCATAACCTCGTCGATTGATTTCCCCTCTTTACTTGACAATCGACCCCTAACCTCACCCTATTATGCCACCTAATACGGGAAGCAGGTGGTCATACACCTATGATCAAGGACAACTAGCCTTTTCATATCTCCCGATTTCATTGGTTACTTCTCACACCCATGAAGGAGGACAGAGGGAAGTGCTGAGCATTAACCCATGCCGTTTGGTCGACTGCTCGATATGACGCCTATTCCAGAGATGGCGTGAGTTGGCATATTCCAAACGGGCCTTCTATATCCGTGCTGTTGTGGTGGTGAGATACAGACAACGTCTTCCAACGGAATATTCTTCTCATATTCCTACAGTTCAATACTGCGTTAGCAACAGAGTACTATGTATATATTTCAACATTCTATTTCATGTCGTTTGATGTAAGCCGAAATCACACGCTCAATGATTGTTTAGAGAATATGAAATATATATATATAAAGGATGGAAAAGTGAGGCAATCTATGATAACACGAATAATGAAAAACAGTATGACTAAACAAACAAATGTTCAGGTGGAAGTAGTCGATAAAGGCTAAGAAAAGCAAATGAACCGATAAAGTAATGCTAGATTGTAAGGGAAATAAATGAGACACGTTTTTAATGAAGTTGTGATAAGATCAAGGGATGATAAGAGAGGGGTTGAAAATATAAGTAAGGGGTGGAGTAGAAGTCATCAGTTGGTTATGTCTTAATAGGCCAAGGGAGGGATAATGGATGTACAAACTTCTTTTAAATGCATAGTTTAGGTTTAATGGTTCGAATGCCTATCGCCTCAGCTGTGTGCAGTAGACGAATACGAAGTCTATTGGAAAGATTCGGTGGGATACGATGAATTACTTTGAAAGCTCTCGTTTTCTCCCCTACGTGACCACTATCAACTAAATGTGACAGAATTGATCTACGGATTGTTTTTGTCTGTCCTTCGCCAAACCATCACGATGGGAGATGTTCACTAACACGTTGGATAAGCTGTCTAGTATTACCCCCCAAAATAACTGTCACCGCAGGTGCAGTTGAATTGATAAATGCACATAGATGTGGTAAAACTATCTAGCTTATCCTCCGTTTGTGTCCCAGTCATTGGTCAGCTAGAGAATGACAAACATAGGTATGCTGAGTAAAACGTTCTTCGTATACTCCTGGAAAGTCTCTGGAATAAAATCTCACTTGATAAGTCACCATTAAATTGTAAGTTAATAAATAAAGGTTTTTTTATGTGCAGTCATAGTCTCAGGTTTTCTCTCTGATGTTTTCATATGTTTCTTTATGAAACTACTCTGATAGCCCATCTCTGTCAAGGAATCGTGAATATATTCAAACTCCTTTTGTAAGAGGTCACTCGTACATATCTTTCTTGCTCTGCTTGTAAGACATTTAACATTTCTTTTATATTTAATGGGCACATAACTAAGGAATTGTGTGCATTGCCCTGTGAATGTGCTTTTTCTATACACGCTTCTCCCAAGTGACCCATCTGGCCTACTTAGCAAGACATCCAGGAAATGTAGTTTACCATCCTGCCCCTCTTGACAAGTAAAAGTAAGCGAAGGGTGGATGTTGTTGAGTTTCAGCAACATCTCGTCTGTGTTTACACTCCCATCAGCTAAGATCAGTGTCGTCGACATGTCGATAATACATATGAAACTCCTTGATGATGTCTTTTAATTTCCCGTTTTCAAGTTTTGCGAGGAAGAAGTCAGCTAATATTGAGCCTAATGGTGAACCCATAGTTATTCCATCTACCTGTCGGTAGTATGGATTATTGAAGACAAAGTGAACATTCATTGTGCATTTAAGAAGTAATTCTTTGAGACTACACAAGGAGATTCCTAAGTTCAAATGCCTTTCGGTGATTTCTTGATAAATGTAATCTACTGTTTTCATAAGCGGTACTTTAGTGAATAGTGATAATACATCCATGGATAACATGCGTTTATACCTCACATTAGTCTCGGATATTTTAGAAATAAAGTCGAAGACATCACTAATTCGATGTTGCACGGTTTCTCTGTGCAAAGGACCCAGGATCTTAACTAACCACTTCGCTGTTCCGTGAAATGGAGAGTTATACATATCTAAAACAAGGCGAAGAAGAAGACCCGGTTTGTGCACTTTGGGTAGACCGTAAAGACGTGGAGTATTGGTACCCGTTGATTTCATAAACTCATACATGGTTGATGATAATATTCGGTTTTGGTTCAGTTTTTTGAGAGTCAGTCATTAGTTTCTCCGCTCTTACATTGAGGTCTTTGGAACTACCAAGAGATTGGAATTTAGTTTGATCACTGAAAATACCTTACGTTTCCTCAACATAATCTCTTTTATCCAGTAAAACTACACCGTCACTTTTATCTGACTTGGTAATAATTAAGCTTTCATTACTTCTAAGTCCCCTTAGAGCTTCTCTGTGTTGCTTAAATAACAGACTACTTACTGAATCTCTCCTATTTTTGAATTGTTGGCAGCTGTCGACTAGAGTCGTTTTGAACCTAGTTAGTTCATTGTCCGATGATAGCGTAAGGTTTGACGTTTGAGAATACAATTTTTCAAACTGTATATCAGTGTCTAACTGGTTAGCTTTAAGATCATAGTCACTAAATTTGGGACCTAGGGTAACACCTCCAGTTGAAACTTATTAAGCACGATACTGGAAAAATTGTGAACATACCTGCCCGGAACTGATGGAAATTTCCTTTCACGCTTTTGGTTTTCAAGAGGTTTGACAAGACTAATCCTTTTATTATTCCTTCTGTTTATTGCTACATTATTAACATATTCCACGAACATAAGCTGTAATCCCTGAGGTAAATTATCAGTTGAAAATTGTCTTTGTTCCTTTCTAGATCATTTATAAGAGTTTTAACAGAATCAATCTGATTAAGGGCATGTCTTTTTAAACTCTTAGAATTAGAATAAATTCGCATTCGTCTTAACGACCTCCAGTATAGTTTGGGATAATGTTCGGTTTCTACACATTCTTTAAAAAATTCCAACGATGTTTTCGCTTCAGACAGCCTTGTACTAAACTTCAGGAATTCATTGAGTGCCCTAAATGCAATATAATCTCCACGAAATTTCAATATATTAAATATTCTCATTGTAAAATTTAAAACGACACACTTATTGATAAAACCATTATTATTTTCATTACTACTATTATGACTAATTGCACTTGGAAACATACCTTGGATTCCGTGTCTTGCCTTCTGTTGTAACACTGATTTCGTCAGCGATCAACCCACTGGGGCTGATGCAACTTCTAATATAAGTGAAGCGATCAACACGCTGCACTACTTTACTCCCTATCTCTAAGCTAGGAGCAGACGTTTTCCAGTCATGTAGTATCGTACATATTGCGGGAGCCGAACATTCTCAGGTTGCAACTACTCAAGGTGTTTAGAAGATTCTGCATTTTGTCAGCGTCTTCACCTAGAAGGAGTATATCATCTGCATATTCTAAGTCAACAAGTCTAGTATTCCCTGGTAACAAGTCAATCCCTGAGTCGCTGAAGTCAGCAGTTAGGGTTAAGTCCATTAGTATATATATGATAAAATCAGACAGAAATGGGATAATGGGCATCCCTGACGGACATCACTATTTGTAAACACTTCAGATGACAACTCTCCGTTGGCTCTCATCTGGCTGTCTGAATTCGAGTAGAGTGCCTTGATCAGTGCAATTTGTTTTATGGGTATTCCCTTCACAGCCAAACACCGCCTTAGTACCTCTCGGTTGACAGAATCGAATGCGGTTATGCTGGAAGATATATAAACAATTCAGAGGTGGTGTCTCCGGAAAGCAAATATTCGCAGACGTGTGTGCTTTTAATTAACACACCTATAATTCATCTCAATCATGTATGGTGTTACTTTCTTGAGAAATAATTATTGTTAACAAACATGAATCACGTCTTATCACCAAATAACCTTGACCGCAAAATTAGTTTTCTTCATATACTCTATTTAATTAGTTATTTATTAAAATGAACTTCAGTACTATATTTGGTGGCGTGTTACTGACAATAATAACAATAACAATTTCGCTTTATTCCAGAAACATTACTTGTGGTACAGTGTGGAATTTTCAGCACATATCTACAATATTGCATCTAATTTCATCGTACATTTAAAAGGAGTATTATAAAAAAAAATAAAATATATAAAAAAAACAACAAAAATACCAAAAAAAAGAAACAGAAATAACAAAAAAAACATTTTAAAAAATGCAAATAAAAATACCAAATAGAAAGGAAGATAAACACAAATAATGAAAAAATATTTCAGTATTGGTTAGTGGAAGCTACGATATGTGTATGCGTGGTGGACAGTAACAGCTATAATCATACAAGAAATTATGAGATGTTCTTAAAAATGTTTATAGCCAAGATGATCAGTTAATTTGATTGAACAACACTAAACAATCATAAGATAAACATTTCAGGTTGTGTTTTTTTTTTATTGTCAGCACTAATGCGGTGTTTGTAGTGGTAGTGTGAGGAATCATGCATAATACAAAATTTTTT